GGTTTTGAAGATGCACTGTTCCCCAACATGTGTACAAGTTGGACAAAGCATTATATGGGTTGAAACAAGCTCCGAGGGCTTGGTATGAAAGATTGTCCAATTTCTTGATGGCAAATGATTACAAGAGGGGAACAGTAGACAAGACCTTGTTCATAAGAACCAGGGGGAAACACTTGATTGTAGTACAAATTTATGTTGATGATATTTTATTTGGTGCTACTAATCAGGTTTTATGTGATGAATTTGCTAATCTTATGCAGAGTGAATTTGAAATGAGCATGATGGGAGAACTAGGATTCTTCCTAGGGCTGCAGATTAAGCAAATGGATGATGGAATAATGATCCATCAACAAAAGTACTTAAAAGAGTTGCTGAAAAAATTCGGCATGGAGAACAGCAAAGCTTATGATACACCTGTTCCCCCATCTACAAAATTAGATGCTGATCTTAAGGGAAAAGATGTTGAAGCTTCTCTTTATAGAGGAATGATAGGTTCTCTACTTTACCTAACAGCTAGTAGACCTGACATTGTGTTTTCTGTTGGTTTGTGTGCTAGGTTTCAAAGCAATCCAAAGGAATCTCACTTGAAGGCTTAGAAGGATACTTAGGTATCTTGTAGGAACAGCAAATCTGGGATTGTGGTACCCCAAAAGTACCATTGATCTTATTGGATACACAGATGCAGATTATGCTGGTTTCTTAGTTGATAGAAAGAGCACATCAGGTATGGCACACTTTCTTGGCTCTTGTCTAATTTCATGGGGTTCTAAAAAGCAAAATTCAGTGGCCCTATCCACGGCAGAGTCTGAATATATAGCTGCAGCTTCATGCTGTTCCCAGCTACTGTGGATAAGGAACCAGCTGAAAGATTTTGGTGTTATTTATAAAAAGTTCCTATTTTCTGTGATAACACTAGTGCAATCAATATTTCAAAGAATCCTGTGCAACACTCCAAGACAAAACACATTGAAATAAGACACCATTTTTTAAGAGACAATGTGGAAAAAGGATTGGTGGAGATGTTGTTTTGTAAAAGTGAAGATCAAATTGCTGATATCTTCACAAAGCCTTTGTGTAGAGAGTCTTTTTGTAGGTTAAGAGTCCTTTTAGGTCTAGTTAGACTTTAGGTATTGGCTTCAATTACTTCCTTCAATGATTGGTTAGAATGGTATTCTCTTGTATAGTGTGTGTACATACTTATGTTGATATCTTTCAAGTGTTGTGTAGATGGTTCAAAATCTCAAAAGGATTGAGAATCATTGTTGTAAGAAACAGGTGAAATCAGGCTGAATTGCCAGAAACAGCGTGACATGGTTCTATACAGGTACCAGCAAAGGGAAACAGCAGACCAGCTCTGATATGTCATCCGATAATATCTTTTATTTTCGGAAGATTACTATAAGATATTTCCTTTTGGAAGGAATTTATCTTATTTCAGTTATTTAATCCCATATAAAAGGCAAACAATATCATATGCCTTATTTATAGTTGGTTGAGATAATTATGGTAAAAGATAATTACCAAATTTTTGATTTCAATTTTAAAAAATATCCTTTACAGTTGCTTTTTATTGGCTCAACTAACTCTTTTCTTTCCTTCTTCTCTCTTTGTGCTTCATTGTTAAAATATACACTAACCCTTTGTGCAGATCATCAATCATCATCACTCGAAATTCTCTTTCTCTCTCTCGTATGCTTTAAATTCATCATTGTTCATTCGGTTACTGTTCACTCAAGGAACCAGCTCAGTCTCAGGGGGAACATCAGAAGGAAGCATAAATGTCCTTAAGCCCGAAGTTGGAGGAAATTCAGAAAAGTCAGAGTGAAAAGGATGAAATAGAGGTTGTTGGTTATTATGAGGAGACACCCACTGCTAAGACCATGGTACGAAGTAGAGTAACTCAATTCACCCCCCCCCCCTCTTGAGTGCCCATTGAACCTTCAATTGGTAAGAAGTTCACTGAGAAGGTGCAGGAGGAACAGTCCATTGACGCTGTTCCAGGAACCAAGAGAAAAAGGGTACCAGCAAGAACCTCTTTGCTTGATTGATGTGATGCTAGTTTTGCACTCGTTATGCAACAAGGAGAACAGTTTTGCACTCGTTATGCAACAAGGAGAACATTCTGAATCAGTACATATCTCTCATGTTTTATAAAAAAAAAAAAAAAAAAAAAAAAAAAAAAAAAAAAATAGAGGAACCAGCAGGTCAGGAAGTTTTGAAACAGATTGGGGAATCACAAGAATATGCTTAGTAATATAATGATTTTGGTTTTAAGCAGCGCATGGTGACAAAGATGAAGAGGAATCAGATGATAATACAGAAGATGTTGCAAAGTTTGAGGAGGAGGAAGGGAACGAGAATGATGATGAGGAGTGATGCTGTTTCTGTTCTTGTTTCCTCACCCTCATGTTTATTCTAAAATAACTGATTTTGTTGGTCTGTCTACTTCTCTCCATTCCATGAACTTTCTTTTGGATGGATTTGGCTTCTTTGGTTGAACTTTGTTGGCTTGTATGAACTACTAACTCTGCTATGGTATGAACTGTTTGACTAATCTCTTTTTGCAGCATAATGCTTGAATGGTGGTTGATGCCATTGTATGGATAAGCACATTAACTTGTGCACATTGCTTTTACTTGTGGATACTTTTTAATGATGCCAAAAGGGGGAAGTAGTCTGAAGTTGAAGCCTAAGGTTTAGCTAGTTTAGATTGAGTCAGTTTGAGTCTTTTTATTTCGTATTTTCTATTTTATGTTTAGGGAACCAGTTGGCCTAACTGACTTGTTCCAAAGAGTTTTGAGTCCTTGAAGTTTTTGACGGTTTTTCTTTTTGAGCATGTCCACAGGTTCAAGAACTTCAAGAGTTTGTCATCATCAAAAAGGGGAATTTGTTGAGTCCCTTAGGTTTTGATTGATAGTTTTGAATGATGACAAACAGCTAAGGGAAACAGGTCCTTGAAAGTGTTCGATACAGTTGGGGAACCAGCTAACATAGAACACTGTTTCCCCAGACAAGTTATTACTTACATGAGTTTTCTTATTGAACTAACTTGTCTTTATACAGGGAACAGTTATATGATAAAAGTGTTATGTACTGGTAGGGAACCAGTATGTACTGTTTCCATGGTTGCTACGTGGTAAAGCAGTCACATACTCTTTATTGTGCATTAACCATGTTACATGTGCAGTAGTTGAGTTGATTCCAAGACTTGGAGCATAGAAGCCTTTCGAAGATATTTCGAAGAAAGATTGTTTGCTCATAATAGAAGTATTCAAGGAAGATTCAAGTCTTGAAGATTACATGAAGAAAAGACGATTTATGCTTTAATATGTTATCTAGGTTTTCATGTAATATGCTCCGTAGTATGCTTGCATGTTTGGGTTATATAAGTGCTTAAAAGTATATTGAAGTATGATATGAAATCTGGTACAAAGTTGGAACAGGTTTCATAACATGTTTCAATTCAGGGAACCAGGTCGGGGAACCAGGTTCACTGTATTCGAGCTGCCGTTTTGGAAAAAGATTTTACAAAAAGATTTTTTCGAAAAGATTATCTTGAAAATATTTTGTGCAGCTGGAAATAAGATGAAAATATTCTTGGTTACCTAAAAATCTAGGAGTATTTATCTTAATTGATTCTATCTTTGTGATTAAATCAAATAAGATAAAAACTTTCCTAAAATTACATTATATCTTATTCTCTAAGATTGTGTGATTTAAGGAAACTAGGTTTTAGGAATCTAAGCTTATATAAACTCATCTTATTTCACATATTTCGTGTGCCTCTCCAGAAATCAAAAAGAGCAATTATTTGAGAGCATATACTTAAGCACTAATCCCATTCATCAAGTCATATACAAGAGCATTCTAGTACTTAAACTTTTTCTCTTAATTAGCTTCGTAGAAGTGAGATCAAAGGAGAGTTTTTGATTCTTGTATTGAGTCTTTAACAAAGGGGTTAAAGGCTGGGTGAGTGTTTGTGAGTTCAAACACATTGGGCTTACGAGTGTAAGTCGAGAGCACACTCGGAGTAGAGTGTGGGTTTGCTGGTTCCCGGAGGGAACAGCAGAGTGTTCTTTGTCTTTGTTTTTCGGAGTAGATTAATAAAGAACTTAGGATAGGAGGACGTAGGCCTGAGTTGGCTGAACCTCGTTAAATTTGTTGTGTTCTTTATTGCTTTGTTTTATTTCGTTAAATTTGTTGTCTTCTTTATTGCTTATTTATATTCCGCTGCGTACGGGAACCAGCACAACTGGTTCCTCACACATAATCCGAAAAGAAGCAAAATTAGCCAACGATTACTTAACACTCAATTCACCCCCCCCCCTCTTGAGTGCCCATTGAACCTTCAAAGGTTATCGATTGCCCACACTTGTTTACTTAGCTCGTGAAAAGAGGCCTCAATATCTACACAACTTCAAAGCTGGAGCTATGAATTCATTGGTAAATCGATCACCTTGATAAAACAAAAATAAATCGACAAAATATCCAGTTAGCATTGTCATAATTATATAAAATATTATAAAGTCATACTTATTAAAAAGTTGTTGATTTATTTATAGTTTTGCCATTTGATAAACATGTCGTTGGCCCTGTTTGGCAATTTACTTTTAGTTGTTTGTATTACTGTAGTTGTTTTGACTAGTTGGTTGTGATTAGTTGTTCGTGTAAAAGTGTTTGGTAAAAAGCAATTAGTTGTTAGGACCTTGAGACTTATTACTCGTTCTTAAGACCTTATTATTATGATGTTTTTATGCAGCTAAGGGTATCATCAGAAATAAGCAATGGAGCGGTAATCCTCAACGTTGATTGTGACATGTATTCGAATAACTCACAGTCTATTCGCGATGCACTCTGTTTCTTCATGGATGAGAAGAAAAGCCAGGACATTGGGTTTGTACAATTTCCACAAAACTTTGAAAATACTACTAAGAATGATATATATGGTTCAACCCTTCAAGTTATCAGTCAAGTAAGTAAATCATAATTTTCCAACGTTCCAAGTTTTGATTAGAAATTACATGTACAAGTGTTTTACATAATGTGCGTTTTCTTCAATTTATTTTCCAAACGTAGGTCGAATTTCATGGTTTGGATGGCTTAGGAGGGCCATTATATGTCGGAACTGGCTGCTTCCATCAAAGAGAAATATTATGTGGAAGGAAGTACTCTAAGGATTACAAGATCGATTGGAAGACCTCGAAAATGGATGGAACAATCTTCGAGTTGGAAGAAAGAGCAAAATCACTTGCTAGCTGTGTATATGAGCTGAACTCTCAATGGGGAAAAGAGGTAAATGTTAAAAATTAAAAATGGCCTTATATCATTATTATTCAAGAGCATTATTTTGCTAAATATGATGCTTTGTTAATTGTCATGCATTCACTAATAATCGTTCTAGTAATTGCTAATTAACTAGTATTTGGGCCCAAGGTATGCCTCGTGTCACTGCATAGAACTTGCAGTTATGTATTTAATTCATGACTCATTTTATGTAATATCCCTCGTGATTGCTTTAAAATAGTTTAATATACAACTCATACCAACAAGATGCATCTTTCTTTTAGAGATCTCAGTTAAGCGTGCAAGTTGACTGGGAGTAGTCTTAGGATGGGTAACTTCACGGGAAGTTTTCCCGGGGTGCGCATAATGATGTGAATCGAGTCCCCTTTCTTATAACTATCATTATTGTTTTATGTAGGTACTCTTTTGATTTTACCTTACTCTTAAAATAGGGGTTTTACAAGTGAGTTTTAATAATATTTTTAAAACCCACTTGTAAAACCCCTAGTTTAAGAGTAAGGTAAAATCAAGAGAGTGCCTAAATAAAGCAATAAAGATAGTTATAAGAAAAGGGACTCGATTTACATCACATGAATGAGGAAAATGCGCCGGAATGACTTGTGTTAGTCTGTGAGGACAGTTGTTGGCCATGGATACATATTTCGTGGCAATAGGCTCCACCCTAATTTGTTTGGGGTCGGGGTGTTACATTTATCTTAATTCTATTTCATTTTTCACATAGTCACTCACTTCTTTTATTGATATTTTGTTCGCAAAAAAGAACATGAAACATGACATACTCTAGTAGTAAGGCATGTATTGTTTAAATTTGAGGATGTGTGTTTGAATCTTGCTTATACATCCAATATCTATAATATTTAAAAGTAAATCCATGATGTGGAATGAAAATAAATAAACGGTGGAGGTGTGCCACGTGACAGATGAACTTCTTTTGAAAAGCTTTTTTTTTTAATAACTATATAAAATTAAATATTGTGGAAATTAATTTCAGCGGGGATTGAAATATGGGTGTCCAGTTGAAGATGTAATAACCGGGTTGGCAATCCAATGTCGAGGATGGAAATCAATATACTTGAATCCGAAAAGAAGTGTTTTTTTAGGTTTAGCAGCCACAACTTTAGAAGATACACTAGTGCAACATAAAAGATGGAGTGAAGGTGATCTTCAAATCATGCTAACACATTGTCCTTTATGGTACGGCCATAAAAGGATCCACCTAGGCCTTCAATTGGGCTATTGTCACTACTGTTTTTGGGCAGTCAACTCCCTTGCAACCTTGTGTTATTGTACCGTCCCTTCTCTATACATGCTCGGAGGCATTTCCGTGTTTCCTAAGGTACGGAGTAATTTTTATCACTTTCGAGTTGAAGTTTTATTATGACATAAAAAATTCTTACATGTGAATATTTTGTTATGCTAGTTATCAAGTTCATGGTTTCTTCCATTTGCCTATGTTATCATTGCCACGTACACGTACAATTTAATAGAATTCGTACACACCGGAGGTACGGTTTTAGGGTGGTGGAATGAACTAAGGATTTGGCTCTATAAGCGAACATCATCATACTTGTTTGCCCTCGTTGACACGATTTTGAAACTCATTGGGTTTTCGGAAAAAATTTGTGATCACCAACAAGGTGACCGATGAAGATGTGTATCAAAGATATGAGAAAGAGATTATGGAATTTGGAGCCCCTTCTCCCATGTTCACTTTGCTAACTTCTCTTGCATTGATAAATTTATTTACTTTTGTTGTCTTAATAAAAAATTTGTTAGAACGAAAAGAGATGAGATTGATGATTGAGGGATTAAGCTTGCAAATTTTGCTATGTAGTGTGTTGGTTTTAATCAATTTTCCGTTGTTTAAAGCTGTTTTTATTAGGAAAGACAAAGGCAAGATGCCAAATTCTGTGACTATGAAAGCAATAGTTGTATCTTTTATTATTGTACTTTATTTTTTGTCATTAGGACCTTTAATTTATAGATTGATTTGATAAAACTGGTTGTAATTTAAGAGAAGAATAAAAGGAGAAATAGTACATTTGACTCGTCTTTTGATATATGACTTAGCCTTTATTTATTGTTGTTAGTAGTATTGAATTTTTCCTTCCTTCCCTAAATGATTATATTTTTATATGTGACTATCCAAAATTTATAAAGTTCATCACAAGGAAAATTCTTTGCTTGTTCCATTTTGTTCAATTAGTTATAACATTCGCTGGTATTACATTATCGATCAATGTAAAAAGATGGTAATTATAATGTTCGCTCGTACTACATTATCGATCACAAACAAGGTGGTAGTTATGGCTTGTGATTAAATCTCGTCTATATCGTTTGCCCTTGTAACTCTCTCCACATCAATAAAAAAAGGAAAAAAAAAATGAAAAAAAAAAAACAAATCTGATATTTTTTATCCGAACTTATTTTATTTTGTTTAAGTTTATCTAAAAATGAATAAAGACAAACAAAAGATGATTACAATCATCAATGTAGCTTCTTGTTGGATAGGGTGGGTCCAAGTTTGGAGTAATTTTTGTCCCAAACTCTCTATTTCGTGTTAGAAATAGTGGGTTTTTCAGGCCGAGTCAAACTTATAGTTAAAATTAAAATTTAAGCTGCCATCAACCCACAAAAAATTAAAATCAAATGATCAAGCCTGAGCCCAAATTTTGGGCCACAAAGTTGGCTAAACCCGTAATATTTTTCTAGCCACGTTGGGTTGGGTCATGAGGCGGGCTGCTTGTGGTAGATTTCTTTTGTCATGTAAGTGTATTTGGTTGGAAACGGATTCAATTAAACCATTACGTAATTAAGTGTTTGTTTAGAGGTTTGGGTAACAATTATCATTACCTAAGGATAATGATTTCCACTCATAGAGTAACAATTACCTTCACCCTCCTCTAACAAAATAAAGAGAACTAGGATTAGGTGATTCCTTTCCATATTTAAACCAAAAAAATGAAAAGGTAACAATTAAAATGATTCATTTCTTTTCTCCTTATCTATTTCATTTACACTCCATTTCTAATGTTCAAACCAAATGCCCCTAAGGTCTATTGTAGTTCCAAGATATTAAATTTATATCATTGAATAATTCGTAGTCAATCAAAATTATTAGCGATTTTATACTTGTAATTTCAAACATATTATACTGATTTTATACTTATACGTACGAGTACATAATAAGAGGTGTGTCAACTTTAAAAAACAAAGGAGATAATATGACAAGACATTAGATTTTAAGAGGAACAAAAAAAGTTTGCATAAAAAAAAAAGGATAAACAGCCAAACTGAACAAGAAAACTAGCTTAAACCCTTTAAAAAATTGCTTCAATAATTACCAAAACTGATTGAGAGAAAAAATGGGAAAAGATGAATACTTTCCTTTATTTGAGACGAAGAAAGCAAAAGGGAAGATTATTACAGGGTATTTGCAACATCTATATTAGTTGCAATTTGTGTAATTTGGGTTTATAGATGTTCTTACATACCAGAAAGTTGGGGAGGGAAGATTAGGTTGGGTTGCTTTGGTTTATGGCTGAAATTTGGTTTGGTTTTTATTGGATTCTTTCTCAAGTTTTTCGATGGAATTGCATCTATCGTTACTCTTTCAAAAAATAGACTCTCCAACAGGTACTTTTTTCATGTTTCCCCTCCTTTAATAGAGTTAGATCTTGTTTAGTTCAACTTATTTTTACTTATTTCAGAAAAAAAAAAAGTTTAGATCAGATCAGATCAGAAAATATAAGTTCAGATCAGAACATCGTTTTATGTGCGGTTAAATAAAAAATCAAAAGTTTAGAATTAAGAAGATGAGACGATTATAATTAGTTTTGTAAATAATATATGAATATCTAAGAAATAAAGATTATTGCAATTTGTAACAGGACTCCAACCGTGTCAATCAGTGGCGTTAACAAATACATTGGAGTAAATCCATCTCCAATCATGGGCTTTTTCTCATCGAGGGGTCCAAACCAGAATAACCCTGGTATTTTAAAGATATACGTACTCATTATTTTTTTTGATCTAATTATTACTTCTTTCATTCCTATTTGTTTTGTCTCGTCGAAATGTATTTTATTAAGGAATTGAACCAAAATATAGGAAGTAGGTAATAAGAGTATCTTTGTCTTTTATACTTTTTATTAATGTATACAAGCGGGGTTAACGGTGGAAACAGAGAAATCTTTAAGGCCCATCTTAGAAAGGAATACGGGGCAAACAAATAGGGATGGACAGAGGGATTCTATAATAAATTCATTCATTAAAATATATTCCTTAGCATGCACAATATAGTTATTTAAAGTAATTTTTCCTTGTGCGTATTCATTTTACTACAGCCTGATGTTACAGCTCCTAGGGGTAATGCATGATCTGTGCACCGAGGTGCACCATGCACATGGTGCACCTGGTTTAATAATAAAAAAAAAGGCGGAAATAACATTTAGGTTTTTGAAAAAGAACATGCATTATTAAAGAACATAAAGACATTAAAAAAGAACATGATAAAAACTTTATTAAAATTTTATGAAAAATTTACACATTAATGGATAAAAAAGTTTACCAAAGATATCATTTTCCCCAAAAAATAGTTTTTTCTCTCCAAAAATTCAACTTTGCATAATAATTTTAGTTTTTCTCTCTCTAAAATATTTTCAACTAAAAAATTAAGATTTCATTTTCAAATTAAATTTCAAAATTCAAAATAATATATGTTAAAAGAACATAAGTTATAATGTAAATAATATATAATTCATACCCGAAGAACTCACTGATCAAACTCAAAGAAACATACGTGTAGTAAAAAATGATATATGATAATTCAAAAAAGAATTGTCGTCACTCGTTATCTCAAAGAACATACAAGCCAAATTCAAAGAGAACATACTTTTGTATTTATTGAAACCCAAAAAAATGTTTAATCAACCTATGTTTAAAGAACATAAGTATAAAAGAACGTATTATCAAACATATATGGGTTATGTTCTTCGTTCAAACACAATATTGTTTTTTATTAAACAACTGTATGTTCTTTCCACCTTATGGGTGCACCATGCATATGGTGCACTCGGGTGTACCATCCTATTTTCACTTGGGGTAGATATTCTTGCTGCTTACCCTATAGAAATCTTTCAAAATTTCTATTGCATGTTAACCAAAACATCAATGGCTACTCCTATGTTACTGTATTGCGGCTCTTATTAAGAAGCTACATCCTGATTGGAGTACAACAGCTATCAAATCAGCAATCATGACTACAGGTATGTTGTGTACACAAACCACATGATATATATATATATATATATATTATATATATATATATATATATATATATAATATATATATATATATATATAATAATATATATATATATAGCAATTACATACGGTTTATGGATCTGGTTCGGTAATGTAGAATTGATTTAAAGTAAATCAATGCAGCAAGTAATAATAATGCAACAAGTCCCCTTGATAATGAAGGGATGCCTATACGTGACAGTGACAAGATAAGTGATGCTAACCCATTTGCATACGGCCATACGGGTCGGGCCACGTTAAACCGAATGCGGCAATGGATCCTGGGTTGGTTTATGACATGAACCAATATGATTACCTAAACTTCTCATGATAGTACAACTCTTAAAGAATTTAGCAACAACATTCTTACAAATGCCCGTGCTCCTTCAACATCTTGGATTTCAATTATCCTTCCATATCTATCGTGAATTTCACCGGCAATGCGATAGTTACTTGAAATTTGAAGAATGTTGGACAACCTGGAACCGCATTGAGCCGCCACCAGGTGTCTTAATTGTGGTGGAGCCTAAGACTTTGGTAGTCTCTCAAAAAGATCAAATCATTATGTTTAAACTTATTATCTGATATCAATCATCTCTCCACTGACTACATTTTTAGAAGTTTGGTGTGGTCTGATGCTAAACATGTTGTTAGAAGTCCTATTACGGTCAAGGCCAAAATAGGTAGATAGTTGTCTATAGTATTTGGAAAATTCATGGGAATAATTCCACCTTTGGGCCGTTCGTTTTTAATAATCGCACTTTTGAAATATTTTTTTAATAATCCGACCTTTACCCCCCATTCTTTTTTGAAGACACGTTTGATAGATGACATTTCATATATTTGCAATAGTATGCAATAGATGATAAAGATTACTAAATATAGTGATAGAGTATAAACATATTCCTGAGCCTTAATTTCATCTTAATCTTTTGTTGAATTGCTCTTCTAACATGGTATCGAAGCCAGGTTCAAATCTCACCCACCCCCCACTTTCAAGTAGAATATTTCGCACAGGGTATCCGGAGAGCTCATGTACGGTGCATCCACACTTCAAGCCCAATGGACTCTCATGTGAGGGATCGTGATAGAGTATATTTTTGGGCCTCAACCATCAGCTTAATTTTTTAATTACGTAAAATAATAAACATTAATTACATTGATCGACGCGTATTTTTAACATGTATTCCAAAATTAATACCTTTTTAATTAAAAATAAAAAAGTATATTATATTGTTATATAATGCTCTAGAAGCTCTCGTTAGCAATATCCATCGTAACAATATATTTTTATTTAATTCTAGTAATTTATGTATTGAAATTTGTGACTAATAGGTATGTGGCTTGAAATTCAGAGCTTTTCCGATGATGAAAGCTATGGCTCAATTCCCAAAAAGTTGAAAGAAGCTTGCGATAATAAACAAGATATGACATTTAAGTGCAATAGGTCAATACATCATCAACTTTACTTTTTACAGTCTTGTACTGTATGCATGCATTACTCTGTTGTACTCTCTCTATTTTTTTTTTTTTAATTTTTTTTTTTCATGTTAAATTCTGAAAGCTTATAGGAGCTAGATATTTTTAACAAGGTATGGAGAAATTGATTAATTTAGAAAAAAATTGCACCTTCAGTGAAAGTTGAGCCCTAGAGATGACAAGCATGGGCATGGCACCCACACCCTATCTAC